ATTTCAAGGAGAGGAGGCGGAGCAAGAGGATTGGGATACTATGTACATAGAGAGGAGGACAGACGCGATCAGTCGAGGAACCGACGCTTGCGCACAGTCCAGTGGAGGAGCCGGCAAGCTGTGGAGAGGCATTCGAGGAGATGCGGCAATTCACGACGGGACGTTAGTGAACTTGTATCGGCGTGGTCGACAAGGACCAGCTGGTCATGCACAACGTCGTCCAGCAAGATAAGAAGAGGCGGGAACTCCACGGCCTCCTTTACCCACACGTTCTCTCTGGATGTGGGACGGCCCAGGGGAGTCGGATTTCCGTGCTTCTCGTCAGCGGAATCCTGTGGACCCTCCAGGATAACATGGCATCAGGTCGGGCATGTCACCCTACAGGCGGATTGTGAGCAACAACTTAAAAATAGTCCAACAATCTTCAAAAACAAATGTAAAAATCGTCCCCTGAATATTTTTTGACTATTTGGAGCAATTCCTCCTGCGGAGGGACAGAATCGAATCGATATTGGCGATCGCAATGAAGCGGATCGGCGGGAATCGGCAGCCGAGTCGGGAAAAGCCGAATCGGCGGAAATCGGCATGCCAACATGCCTCCAATGAGACATTGCAGCCCCCATCGGCATCCCGAGCCGCATCGCATGGGAATCGGAAGCCAGCGACATCGCATCGGATCGAATTCGAGCGCCCGAAATGAGCCCTGGACAGGCGCGGTCTCGCTCCTCGGCTTCAAGAGGCCGCGGCCGCGCGCAGCCCTGGTATATAATTGGCGCGCCCCCGGCGCGCAGCAGGCGGAGTGCCACGATCTCCCCCTCCCTGTGGGCGATCGAGGCTTACTCCAGATTTCGTAATAAAAGGGAGGGGGTCTGGACCCTCCAAGACAAGCCATTTCAGACCCCCCCCGTGGGAGAACCCTCCAAAACATCGTCCCCAGACCCCCCCAGGCCCTCCAAGATAGCCTGGAAGAGACCTCCCCCGAAATGAGACCCCCCTCCCTTTTTACGAAATGCGGAGTATGTTGCTCCCATCGCACTTAAAGACCGCTGATGTTGCTAGGGGGAAAACAAACCTACCTCGCTTTTGACCACCCTCGCTTCCAGGCGATACCAAACGATGCCAAATTGCAGCCCTTACTGGTCAGGCCGCTTGACGAGGAGACGCGTGGTATGGCTTGGTTTTACCTGGAGGCGAAAGCGGGGTAGGTAATTCACGCTCTGTGTTGCTCCCATCGCACTTAAGGACCACATCCCAGAAATAGTGTCGAGCACCCAGAAAAGTGTCGAGAGAGTGTCGGAACAGTGTCGAAGCAGTGTCGGACGAGTGTCTGCCAGGGCCCAGCACGTGAAAACCCTCGAGTTTTGGGGTACTGTTCTGGCGCTCGAGATTCTTTCTGGTGGTCAAGACTTCAGTAGGTTGGAACATCATAAATCGAGGCAACACAATCGCGCATGGGCAGATCGTGGAGAAACTCTACAATAAGGTCAGGTCGGGCATGTCCCCCGACATGCGGCTTCTGAACGAAAAATTAACTAACCTAAACAACATTCAAAACAGATCAAGCAATACAGGAACAAACATCGCCCCGGACTAATTTTTAACTAGTCTTGAATTTCCCTCCTGTAGAGGGACAGGCCCGCGTAGGGGCCCTTCCACAAGAAATAGGGGAACGAATACTGGCATAAACGAACAAAAAGCTCGGAGGTCCGACCGGATTTCGCGGATCGGCGCTGGACCCGCCTGGCGGCGCCTCCGGCGCCGCCCCTGGCGCGCTCCGCGCGCCAGGGAGGGAGTCCAGCGCGGATCCAGGAAACCCGCGCGGACATCCGAGCTCTCATGTTTGTGTAAATCTTTCGCTCCACTGCAATTGGGTCCCTTCCGCAAGAAACCTTCCACAAGAAACCCAACCGTGAGACCCCAGGAGGTCCATGGACTTTTGGCGTGGGAACGCCACGCCTTCCAGAGCTAAACCATCGACGCCCGAGAAACCCAGGGCGCCCTGGAGGCAAACAGGCTGTTTCTTGGCATGGGTCTCCACTGTATGGGCAGATCGCGGAGAAGCTCGAGGAGCAATCCGAAGAATCGCAGGTTGAAGTGGCCGCCTTCCTGTCGGGCTTGCCGGCAGGGCAGACGGGTTAGCAGAGGCAGACGCGCTGGGGTTCCACAACATGGGGCCACCCGAACACCTCGATGACTCGGTCACCGCATGCCCGTATGTGGACGACGTCAGAGCGATACTCGATTCCGCTTAGCTTCAGTCCGTTACGCGCAGTGGGGCAATGGCAACCTTCAATTCTGGGGCGGACATGTCCGCTTGCACGGTGATCGGAGGCGCGCCGCCTTTCGACGAGGAGGGGATGGGGCTCGATGTGGTGCAGGCAAAGGAGGATCCTGGGCATCACAGTGGTCGCCGAACTGTCCTTCCAACCGTTTGTTGCCGAGATTCTCGGAAAACGGCAGAGGGATCTCCGAGGAGCTGTCTTGTCTGTACGGGGCGGCGGGGGCAGGCGGATCCCCCCTATCTCGGTACTCGCTGGGCAAATTCCCTTGGAAGTGGCGGTGGGTCCCCTGTTCGGTGCCGCGGTACTTCCTGGGGTCCCGGGGACCAAGACCACCCTCAACGGCTTGCTGAACGAAGGAGCGCGCGCTATCCTGCGCTACCAGCCGGGCGCGGGTCTCAACTGGGCGTTGCGGCTTGAGCCGCCACTTTGGGAGATGCGGCTCGGGACCTTGATGCTGGGCAGGCCATTCTGGCGCGCGCCTCCTCCTCCTCCTCCTCCTCCTCCTCCTCACCCTCATCCTCATCCTCATCCCCATCCTCATCCTCATCAGCATCATAGGCAGCATCATCATCATCATCATCCTCATCCTCGTCATCATCATCATCATCATCATCATCATCATCATCATCATCATCATCATCATCATCATCATCATCATCATCATCATCATCATCATCATCATCATCATCATCATCATCATCATCCTCCTCCTCCACCACCTCCTCCTCCTCCTCCTCCTCATCATCCTCCTCCTCGTCATCCTCCTCCTCCACCCCCCCCTCCTCCTCCTCCTACTCCACCTCTCCTCTCCTCCTCCTCCTCTCTCCTCCACCTCCTCTTCCTCGTCCTCCTCCTCCTCCTCCTCCTCCTCCTCCTCCTCCTCCTCCTCCCTCTCCTCGGAAGGTGATCAGCAAAAGGGACGTCCTTGCTGATCACCTCCCGAGGCAAGCGACCCCTGGGCGTGCTCCGCAGAAACCCTGCGGAGATCCGCCGAGTGCCTCGAGCAGACTTCCGGACCCGTCTGTGGACCTCGACAGGGCCTCCTCAGCCTCCCAAGGGTTCGTTCCTAACCTCGGACCACCCCCGCCTGTCCTGGAGAACGCCCTCGCATCGCGGGCGTCCAAGGGGGGAGGGGGGGGGCGTCCAGGAGGGGGGCTTCGCAAATCATAGCCCGAGCCACGTGCGCGGCCACCGGAGGCAGGACCAGGGGACGCCTCGAAAGATGCAGAGATCGCGGCATGCCGCCACGAGATCGCTCCTCCTAATCACGTCCCACCCACCCCCTCTTTCGGAGGTTGCTAAAGTGCCCCTGGCCCAATGTCCCCTGCTTTTCGCGGTCAATGCTGGAGCCCCTGGAGCCCTCTGGGCCTCGTGAGAGCTGCTCTGGAGGTCGTGGGGGCCTCCTTGGAAATCCTGGGGGACACCTTGGGCCAGGGGTACACTTTCCCTTCCCCCCTCGCTCGTCTCTTCCAACTCCTCCTCCTCCACCTCCTCCTCCTCCTCTGTGTCTTTTCGTCCGTTCCTCCGTTCCTCCTCCTCCTCATGATCCTCGCTTCCTCCTCCTCTCCTCCTCTTCCTCTTCTTCCTCCCCCTCCTCCTTCTCCTCCTCCTCCTTCTCCTCCTTCTCCTCCTTCCCCTTCTCCTCCTCCTCCTCCTTCTGTTTCTCCTCCTCCTGCCCGCCTCCTCCTCCTCCTCGTCCTCCTCCTCCTGTTCCTCCCCCCCTCTTCCTCCCTTTCCTCCTCCTCCTCATCCTCCTCGTCGTCGTCCCCCTCCTCCTCCCTCCTCCTCCTCCTCCTTTTACCAAGACCCCGCTCTTGGCCGCCCCCGAGTAAAACCGCCAGCGGGCCCGCTGTAGGCACGCCTGCCAGACTCCGAGCGGACTCCTGGGCCTGGGGGCGGCCAACCCCTGCGCGAGGCCACGAGGAGGCCTCCACTTCCCCATCCCCCCTCACTCGTCTCTTCCAACTCCTCCTCCTCCTCCACTCCCTCCTCCTCCTCTTCGCCTCTTCCTCCGTTCCTCCTCCTCCTCATCATCCTCGCTTCCTCCTCCTCTCCTCCTCCTCCTCCTCCTCCTCCTCCTCCTCTCCTCCTCCTCCTCCTCCTCCTCCTCTTCCCTCCCCTCCTGCTTCTCGTCCTCCTCCTTCTCCTCCTTCTTCTCCTCCTCCTCCTCCTCCCCCTCCTTTTTTGTTATCCTCCTCCTGGCCGCCTCCTCCTCCTCGTCCTCCTCCTCCTCCTGTTCCTACCCCCCTTTCCTCCCTTTCCTCCTCCTCCTCCTCCTCCTCGTCCCCCTCCTCCTCCTCCCCCTTTCCTCCTCCTCCCTCCTCCCTCCCCCCTCGCCGCTCAACCCTCCCGCCCCGCTGCCCCCTCTTCCCCACTCCCTGGCCCTCGCTGCCCCCTGCACCCCCCCCCCCCCTCCGCCCGCTTCCTCTCATATGACTCCTCCCCCCCTCCCTTCTCTCCTCTTTCGGTGGCAACTCATGGGAGCCTCCCGTACCATCTTGTCGGCTCTTGCAAATCGACGCTGGCCGATGCTAAATAAACGCTATTCGGCGCTAGATCGACGCTAATCGACGCTAACTGACGGTAAATCGGCGCTATCTCATCCACTCCCAGACGCCAGTCGACGCTAAAGACAAAATTAAGGGGGTGACCAAGCTCCCTTGATTTGCTATCGAACCCTCCTGCTCCCCCCGAACCCACCTCACTCCGCGCCGCCTCCCCTGGATTTGAAGCCCCCCGCGGCCATTGACTCTTCGCTCACCTGGCGACTCCAGCAAGTCGACGTCTTCACCGGATACGGGATCTCTCGGACCATGTCGCTCAGGGGGATGCTGGTTCTGCCGTCCTCGAAGCTGACCTTGCGGCTCCAGCACGATGGTGTCGTCATCGTCGGCTCGGAGATCTGTCGGTACATGTCGCTCAAACCGCTGCTGCCGTCCTGTTGTACGAGGACGCTGAGATGATGGTAGTGATGGTGATGGTGATGATGACGATGAGGATGATGGCAACGATGATGTCAACAATGGTGTTGACGCCGATCATGATAACGACGGTGATGATGATGAGGGTGATGATGATGGTGATGATGATCATGATTGTGACGGTGAGGATGGTGCTGCTGATGAAAATGATGATGATGCTGCTGATCATGATGATGATGGTAAGAATGCTGCTGTTGATGCTGATGATGATAACGGTGATGCCAATGATGCTGATGAGGATGGTGATAATGATGGTAACGATGATGGTGAAACTAATCATCAACATTCTGACTCAGATTATGGTGAATATGATGGTGCTGATACTGCTACCGCGAATGGTGATAGTGACGGTAACGGTAATGATGATGATGATGATGGTGCCGATTCTGCTGGTGACGATGATAGTGATGATGACGATAGTGATGCTGATGCTGATTATGATGATGACGCTGAAGCTGCGGGTACAGATGCGGATGCTAATGCTGATGCTGACGATGCTGCTGAGGGTGATGAGGTTGACGATGCTGATGATACTGATGATGATGATGATGATGATGATGATGCTGATGATGATGATGCTGCTGATGCCGATGATGATGTTGATGATGATGATGACGGTGTTGATGTCGACGACAATGACGATTATGACTGAACACGATAATGATGACGCTGGGGATGATGAGGATGATGCTGGTAATGGTGATGATGAGGCTGATGCTGCTGACGATGACGATGCTGAGGATGATGATAGTGATGATGGTGATGACGATGCTGGTGATGATGAGGATTATTATGCTAATGCTGATTATGCCGATGATGGTGCTGATGCTGATGATGATGCTGATGATGATGATGATAATGATGCTGATGACGATGTTAATGGTGATGATGAGGATTCTGATGATGAGGTTTCTGATGATGATGACGATGATGATGATGATGATGACAATGCTCGTAATGATGAGAGTTATGATGCGAATGCTGACTATTGAGAGGATGGTGCTGATACTGACGATGATGATGATGCTGATGATAACGATGTTGATCCCGATGTGGATGATGATGACGATGATGATGAGGATTATGATGATGATGATGACGATGACGATGATGATGACGATGGCAACGATGACGATGACGATGACAACGATGATGATGCGATCAGTAGTATGATGATGCTGATGAAAATGATGATGATGATGATGATGATGATGATGATACCCATGATGATCGTGATGATGATGATACGGATGCCTACGACGAGGCAAGGACACGGAGAAGAGGGATGACGTCGAAAAGAAAGTGGGCGATGAGGGATTGGGCGACATGGGGAAGGGTGACAACGAGTACTACTACGAGGAGGAGGAGAGGCAGGACCATGAATTGTGAGGGCGATAAGAAGAAGAGGAGGGATATGTGAGGCAGAAGACAACGAGGATGATCAAGGGGACGACGAGACAGAGGATGAGCAGGAGAACGATGAGGGTCATATTCATGATAAGGATGGCGAACATGTTGCACACGTTGACGAAGAGGAATACCAGGGATAACGTGACGATGATAACGACGACGAGGATTCTGACGACGACAAGGGCAACGACGAAGAAGGGGGAGGCGAAAATGGGGGAGGAGAAAGCGTCCATCTCCATCCTCCACCTCCCTCCCCGGAAGTCTCCAACGGCCTCCGAAGGCCCTCAGGGGTCACGGAGGCCCCAGGGCCTCCAGGAGGCTTACAAGCAAAACGTGCCAATAAACACGCCCCCTCATGTCGATCCTCGATGCTCCTCCTCCTCCTCCTCCGTCTCCTCCTCCTCCGTCTCCTCCTCCTCCTCCTCCTCCTCCTCCTCCTCCTCCTCCTCCTCCGTTGGCGTCCCCTGGCGTCCGAGATCTCTAGGAACGTGTTCTTGACCATCATGGGCTCCGCATGCGCCATGGCCGCGACAGTCCTGATAGCCATTTCCAGTCCAGGGGGAGGCATGGGGAGGCAAGGACAGTAGGGAGACAGGGCAGGGAGAGAAGGAGGTGGGGGGGCGCAGGGGGGGAGCGGTGCAAGTAGTAGAGAGTAGAGGGGAGGGAAGGGAGTGGAGTAAATGAGGAAGTGAGGGAGGAGGAGGAGGAGGAGGAGGAGGAGGAGGAGGAAGGAGGAGGAGAGAGGGAGGGGGAGGAGGAGAGGTGGAGGAGGAGGAGGAGGAGGAGGACGAGGCAGACCACGAGGAAGGGGCGAAGTGACGAGGACGAAGCAGACGGCGATGAGGCTCGAGGGAAGACATTTGGGCGATGGGCGGGGACGCAGACGATCGCCTGGCCTTCGACAGGCTCTTCACACATCCTCATTCCTGCTCCTCGCTCCTCCTCCTCCTCCTCCTTCCTCTTCCTCCTTCCATCCCTCCCTCCCCTCCCTCCCTCCCTCCCTCCCTCCTCCTCCTCCCTCCTTCCTCCTCATCCTCTCCTCCTCCTCATCTTCCTCCCTGCTCCTCCTCCTCCTCCTCCTCCTCCTCCTCCTCCTCCTCCTCCTCCTCCCCCTCCTCCTCCCTGCTCCTCCTCCTCCTCCTGCTCCGCCCTCCTCCTCCCTGCTCCTCCCTGCTCCTCCTCCTCCTCCTCCTCCTCCTCGTCCCTGCTGCTCCTCCTCCTCCTCCTCCTTGTCCTCCTCCTCCTCCTTCTCCTCCTCCTTCCTCCTCCCTCCTCCCCCTCCCTGCCTGCTCCCCCCGCGCCAGCTCCTCTGCCCTTCACCATTCACCACCCCCGCTGCCGCCTGGGCCCAGGAGGCGGGGCCTGCAAGCAGGGCAGGGGCCGGATTCGGGTGAGCGTTTTCTTTCTGTTCGGCGTTTCGGCATTGGGCGGAAGGAGGGGAGGGAGGGGCTGGATTCGGTTGAGCGTTTTCTGTTTGTGTTCGGCGTTTCGGCATTGGGCGGAAGGGGGGGGAGCCTTTTTGTTTCGGCGTTTCGGCATTGGGCGGAAGGGGGGGGGGAAGGAGGGGGGGGGTCTGGCTCCGGACATCTGCTTAGTGCGACTGTTTGCATCACTGGGTCCTATGAAGGGGAGACTCCACCTGCTCGACGCCCAAAACAGCCAAGGTCTACTCCATGGGCGGGAGGGGGGGGAGTTCGGGGCCCGCGCCAATCGGCAAACAATAAAACAGAACTGTCACCAAGGCGCCATGGTCGCGAGACTCCTGGCCAGGCTCGACTCAAACTCTGCCTGCCGTCGTTCGCCTCGTTTCCGTCCTGCGTCGTTCCGTCCCCGCTCCGCATCTGCCGCGACAGGAGCGAACACCAAACGGAAGCAACCCTCGAAATAATCGTAAGAGCACCGCTGAAGTCGAGGCCTGACTCCTGGCCTCCCGCGCACAGCGGTCGCGCCTCAGCCGCAGCCTCGTCCCGGGGAAGCCCCGGCCGAAGGTCGGCAGCGTCGCACTGGTCGACGGCTGGGCCGGGCCGAAGCCGGGGGAACGCGCCAGGCTGCCTCCCTTCAAGGGCCAGGGCGCGCCCTGGGCAGGAGGATGCTGGAGGGGCAGGTCTGGCGCCTGCGCTTCAGAGTAATCCTGTGAGTGGAGGACTGGGTCGTGGCGGAGCTGCACGGATTTCGCCCCCTCAGCACGTGATGTGTCTGGGGTTGGAGTACAAAGGTAGAGAACCCCTGATCCGTTGGTAGAGGAAAGGAGGGAAATATGGATCTTTCCCTCCTGCACGATCAAAGGTCTGATCGATCTATTCCAATGCCTGAGCCCAAACGGCCAGGCGCAGGAGAGGTGAGGATAAGGAGTATATATGAGGGTATTATGCGGGTTCTATTCGCACCCCCCGTCCCGAATCCCGCCCGCGAGGGCAGGGCTCGGGAAAAGGAGAAAAGAACCTGTCACCCTTTTACTCCTCAAATCCTCAGCACTGCAAGGCAGCTGAGCGTAAACTCTGCACCGCTCCAGCTGCGCCCCGATCGCGACAGCGGCGTGCAAAAAGTAGCGTAGCACAACGGCTGTCATGATCCGGCAAGTAAGGGTAAGAAAGAACACCCAGGGTCACTGTTTCTTCGCCAAGCACACTTTGGTGCTCCCTCGGTGCGCCCCCCAAAAACGCCTCGGCACTCGAGGGCGGAGAAGAACGAGACACGGGTGGGCGGAGCAAGAGGATCTGACTGAATTAAAGCAACATCAGAAGCTGCCGCGCCTGAACGCGGCAGGCGTTGCCACCAGCTCTCAAACCAGAGCTGGGCGCCATCTCATTCTCAGCGCAATGTAATTCTACTGTAAAGAATAAGCAAAACATATTTGTAATACCGGGTCGCGTTGAGAAACACGATCGTGTTAAGAAACACGTCTAAGTATCAAAACAAATGCATGGCCATGCGTAAAGTCGTGTTGGCAAACGCGAAACACTGCATTAACAAGTTCTGCGATTGGTTACTCCCCTCGGCGGTGCTCCTTGGGGGTCTGCCTTGGGTTTCCCAAGTGCGAGCGTGTGCGTGGCCACTTTTCTTGCATAGCGAAGTGGCCTAAAATTATATGAGCATTCGCTGCTCGAGGCGAACTTGTACGAAGATGAAGTTCAAGCCTATCGAGCAGTGGGCCTTGCGGCCAACAAAACTACGAGTTTCCTCTCATGTAGAACCTCTGGTCCCACGCCCTGTGACCATCATCCTCGATGTAGCTCGTCGTGAATGTCTTCCAGGGCATCTTTGGGGTCCAGTTGGGAAACCTCTCGTTGTGCAGCAGGTCGCGGACGTACACGAACTCGTCGTTGTTGTCCGCTATGTATATCCAGCATTTGGCGTAGCAGCCCCAGCACCTGGGGCCCCGCTGGCTGTCCTCCAGGTTGTGGCGCCACCACGTCGCGTAGTCCGCTGTCGTACGCGCCCGCTCGGCACGTGGAGGCGTTGTTGGTCCGCGGCTGGCGCCGCCGCTCGGCCGCTGCGCGGCGGCCGCGCCGCGCGGCCCAGCGGGCGCGTCGTCCTGCGCGCCGGAGGCGCCGGATCCAGCGGCATCGCCATGGGCGGGGCGAGGCGGCGGCGGGCGCCGCGGCTGCTGCGGCTCCATGGCGCCATGTGCATGTGAGGAGTGTGTGTTGGGGTCGTTAGGATCGGTTCTAACCCGTGTACTCGCCCCCTTGGACTGGCAGATCCCATGGCAGGTTCGACGGAGGCCAATTTGGCAAGCTTGCGCTGCGTGACTTTCTCACAAGTACCGCCCCCGCGGGGCGCAGCAACTGTGGCAAGGCCGCGATCTTGCCTGGTGCCTCTGTCGAGTCTACCATCGTTCAACCACCAGTTCCTGCGACCAGCGAAGCCAAGCCTAACGCTGTGAGCATAGATGTCACAAGCGTCGCGCATGTCATCGATGGTCCAGGCCTTTTTGCCAGTCTCAATGCGAGCGGCAGTCATCTGGTGGTGGAAACGTAGGTCACTGAGGAAACGCTGTACGACATTGCGAAAGGGGTGGTATAGAGGTCGCTGATCCTCAGCCTCGCCCATCATCCTGCACATGTGTGCAGGAGGGGAGCCTGCGTCAAGCCACATCTTATACCTCTCCTCTGCCTTCTTCGCGCGTCCCCTCAAGGGAACCTTCTCCCGGCCAGCCTTGGAGCGCTTGCCCATCATGTAGACGCGCGCTCCATCTGACATGTACCGGTTGACATCGTCCTGGGAGAGGTTCGCCTTGATCCAGTAGTTCAACTGCTGGAGGTGCGCTAGGTCGCTCTCCGCAGCGCCACCTTGGCCTGTGGCACCTATAGAGACACTGCACTGCCAGCAGATATCACAAATTGCACCGTCACCCGCGACGATCCCCAGGGAAAGGAAACGATCGCAATTCCGACATCGCGCTATATCATGCTGGATCGCTTCAGGAGCCCCGGAAGTGGCAAGATCACTGCGAGATCCCCAGCGGGTGACGCCACCGTCAGTTGACGCGAGACCACGACCGATTTGGTTCATTGCCTCACGATGGACCTCTGCGGTCGGACGGGAAGCGATCGATCGGCCGATCCCCTCGATCTCGATCCTACACAGCCTTTCCCCCGGTAGTCCTGCGTGCCCGAAGGTGTCAGTGTCCGCGGTGTCCATATCACCATGGTGTACGTTGTCCGTGCGAATGCGGGTGGCCTCTGCCTGCAAGATGGCCTCTTTATCGCCCACCTCGCGGTCAATGTTCTGCGTCTCGGCTATGATCTGTACCATGGTCTCTTGGTCGGGAGCTGCAGAAGCGACGCTACATGGATCCCTGGGAATATCCTGCTTGGCGCCTGGATCGTCCAGGTCAGGCGCAGCAGGCGTTTCCACCGGCTCCTTCCATGCGGGGAAGCCTGGGTTGCCGTGTGTCTTGATGCATTCTGTGAAGAAAGCACGCAACGCATTGAGGGCAGGATGGTTCTGATAGATGGCATCGTTGGTGAACTGATGCAGCTCCTGGATGCTGTCCAACAATATGATTTGGTACACTTTTGAAATCTATTGAAATATGCCCGTGGTCGATTCCTCAATGATCTCTGGGTCAAGGTAATGTACCTTCTTTTTGAAGAAACAATCTGCATATCGGTAAGTGGCGTGCCCATTTGTGGGTGTGGTCGTGATCCATGTGGTATGCTTCTGTTTTTGGACCGAATTGTATCCTGTCAATGACTCTATCCTGTCAACCACAAGGTCGGCCCTGCCAGTGTGTGACTCAATAATTTGTTTCACCTTTATCATTGAGGAGTCCACCAGTGGTTCCGACGTCCAGCGGTATACGCGGTGGTCGTAAGATGATATAATCCATTTAATATTGCCCTCTGGGTCATAGTCGGGGTGGGTGAGGAAATCTTCTGGCGGATCAATGATGTTGCCAAGGATGGACGAGCCAACGTCCTCATCAGCGTGAATGTCCGCCGATAAATCCGCCTTCATGGTGTGTCCTCATCTGTGAGTGGGACGGTCGATATGTCGACGATGACAGTGACCAGAGGATCGGTGGATTGGG